CGATTTTTGATCAAAATGCATGGCCTATAGCCAACCAAAATGGCCAAAAATGACCGATTTTTGATCAAAATGCATGGCCTAATGCATGGGTTGTATTGTACAACAGGATTTTGGGGGTGTTGTTGAGCCTTTTGCGAGGGCTATAGCTCATTGAAAAAAGGGAACTTATGACACTCTGCTAATATATGGACTTTAGATTCGTGTTTCGTGTGTGTGTTAGTCATAAGTTTGACTGATATTTCGTTGAGTTTTGCAGACATTTAATTTTGATATAAGTGTTGATAATAAAAGAATAGAAAGCGATTTTTAGTTTAAAAGTTATGAAGATTTTGAAGTTCTTGACTGGTTTGTATTAGTGTATGTAAGATTGAAGAGGTTTTTATGTTTTTAATGATTTGGTGTTGGAATAAGAAACTTCTTAAACTGGTTTTTACTAAAAAGTTCTGATATTTCTTGAGGAAGTAAAGCACACTTAAAAATATAAAATTCATCGATGATTCCTTGAACGGGCTTTTTGTCCTGGGAACTTCCCACATCTGCGCATGTCCAGTTATCATCAGCTTTGAGCTTGCCTTCTACTTTTGTTTCTTTGTTCATTTTCCCATTTATGTATAGCTTAGCTTCACCGTTAGACAGTCGATATGAGCCTGCGATATGGTACCATTGTGACGTATTCATCGGTTTGTCTTTGAAGTAAAGAACAAACATTTAGTATCAACTGCAGTGGAACTTACCAACCAACCACAAAACACTCAATCAAACAACAACCCAACCAACAACTTAACCAACCTTCCAACCCCTCAACCAACTAACAAAAAACTCAACCACAAAACACTCAAACAAACAACAACCCAACCAACAACTTAACCAACCTTCGAACCCCTCAACCAACTAACAAAAAACTCAACCACAAAACACTCAAACAAACAACAAACCAACCTACTCAACCAAACAAACCATCTAAACAACCAACTAACTACTGAACCAAGCAACCATCCAACTAACTAATCAACCAACTAACTAATCAACCAACTAAC